TGAGCCACCATGCCTGGCCATTTGGGGTGTGTTTTTAGAAGAGAGCTAGGTAGTCTTTAGCCATGCTGAATTGAGCACTTCCATTGTGAACAGATCCATTCTACCCTAAGCCGGCAGCTAAGAGCCAGGGTGAAGACGGTGTAGGAAAAGCCCCAGGTGGGAAGGGGTGGCAAGAGGAACCTCCTGTGGGGCGTGGGTCCCAGAGACTGAGCAGAACCTGTCCCTGGGACCCCTGAGAGGACCCCTGCCTGCAGGTGCCAGCCCAGCCTTCCCAGGAAGGGGAAGCTCTGCAAGCCCTGAGGTCCCTGGGAATTCGCAGAAGAGCTGAGGCCTCTTTGAATGCATCCTGAATCACCCGGGTTAGTATAATGGAGCGTGCGGGAGCTCCAGTTACAGGGCAGGCGGGTGAGGGGTGCTTTTAATCCACTTAAGATTCTGAGCCCAGAGCTCCAGCCTGATTTGCTATCTTGAGTCTAATCTTTTCCAGAAATATTGACTCTTCTGAGCCCAGTGTCCACCGATTCTCCACCTGGGTGTTTAGAATGCCCCGACCCGGAGCCGGCCAGTCCCGTAGCCCACAGCACCTCCAGCACGACGGCCGTAGGGCTCAGCACGGCAGAATTCAGATCTCTTTGTTCATAAATTATTGACAATTTCCGAACAGTGACACCTGAGCAGAGACCAAGGGCAGGGCCTGCCCCTGAGGCCACCCCAGCCCCCGAGGGATTCAAACAGCTGCTGTAGGTGGTGGGGATGTTATGCAGAAGTACACACAACACTTGCTAACCTGACTCCGCAGGACTCCGGCTGAGCTGGACTAAGTGGACCAGGGCTGGAGCCCAAGCCTGAGGCTTCATCTAGAAGAAGACTCAGAGGAATCTGACCTGAGCTTGGCCAAGGAGAATGTCCATCTCCCCAAGACCTATGGGTCGAAGCCCTCGCCCCTCATGACTGCAGTGGCACTGTGAGGTCTCTAAAGGGGTGGCTAAGGCTGGGCACGGTACCTCATGCCTGTTATCCCAGCACTTTGGGACACCAAGGTGGGAGGATAAATCACTAGAGACCAGGAGTTCGAGACCAGCCTGGCCAACAGGGCAAAATCCCCCATCTCTACAAAAAAAATTATAAAGCCAGGCATGGTGGCATGTGCCTGTGGTCCCAGCTGGTAAGGAGGCTGAAGTAGGAGGATCTCTTGAGCCTGGGAGGTCAAGGCTGCAGTGAGCCGTGATTGATAGCACCACTGCACTCCAGCCTGGGCGACAGAGCGAGATGCTGTCTCAAGAAAAACAAAACAAAACAAACAAACAGGGCGGGCGCAGTGGCTCACACCTGTAATCCCAGCACTTTGGGAGGCCGAGACGGGCGGATCACGAGGTCAGGGGATCAAGACCTTCCTGGCTAACCCAGTGAAACCCCGTCTCTACTTAAAAAAATACAAAAAACTAGCCGGGCGAGGTGGCGGGCACCTGTAGTCCCACTACTCGGGAGGCTGAGGCAGGAGAATGGCGTAAACCAGGGAGGCGGAGCTTGCAGTGAGCTGAGATCCGGCCACTGCACTCCAGCCTGGGCGACGGAGCAAGACTCCGTCTCAAAAAAAAAAAAAAAAAATATATATATATATATACACACACACACACACACACACACACACACACACACACACACACACATATAAATTAGCTGGGCGTGGTGGCGGGTGCCTGTAGTCCCAGCTACTCAGGAGGCTGAGGCAGGAGAATCACTTGAACCCAGGAGGCGGAGGTTGCAGTGAGCTGAGATCCGGCCACTGCACTCCAGCCTGGGCGACAGAGCGAGACACCATCTCAAAGCAAACAAACAAAACAAACAAAAACAAAGAGGGGCAATTAAGTTAAAAATGAGGCCGTTAGGCTGGCTCTGATCCAGTCTGACTGTCCTGTGAGAAGAGGAGATGAGGACAGACACACACACGGATGACCCTGTGAGGACACAGCGAGGAGACGATGATGACCCTGTGAGGACACAGCGAGGAGACGATGGCATCTGCCAGCCCAGGGGAGGGGCCTCAGGAACCGGCCCTGTCGCACCCTGGCTCGGACCCCAGCCTCCAGGTCTGTGGGAGAATCATGTCTGTTATTTGACCCTCTGGCCTGGGGTCCTTTGTCACAGCCACCCTAGGAAAGGAACATGGGAGGTGGAACAGGCTGTGTAGACTGCTCTGTGGACCGATGCAGGTTGTGTAGACCGCTCTGTGGGCCAGCGTGGGCTGTGTAGACCATTCTGTGGACCGGTGCAGGTTGTGTAGACTGCTCTGTCGGCCGGCGCAGGCTGTGTAGATCACTCTGTGAGCCGGCGCAGGCTGTGTAGACCGCTCTGTGGGTTGGTGCAGGTTGTGTACACCGCTCTGTGGATTGGCACAGATTGTGTAGACCGCTCTGTGGGTTGGCACAGATTGTGTAGACCGCTCTGTGGGCCGGCGCAGGCTGTGTAGACCGCTCTGTGGGCCACAGGCTGTGTAGACCACTCTGTGGATTGGCACAGATTGTGTACACCGCTCTGTGGATTGGCACAGATTGTGTAGACCGCTCTGTGGGTTGGCGCAGGCTGTGTAGACCGCTCTGTGGGTTGGCGCAGGTTGTGTAGACCGCTCTGTGGGCCGGCGCAGGCCGTGTAGACCGCTCTGTGCACCGCAGCTGCCTGTGTGAACAACCTGCCCGCGCATGTGCTCAGACGCTCAGCAGCAGATGACAGGCCTGTCACGTGGGCAGACCTCGCTCCAGTGGCCGGAGGAAGGAGACAAACCTCCGTCCCCTCAGAGAGACAGCCGAGCCCGGGGAAGGCCTGGTGTCTAAAGGCAGGTGGCAGGAGGAGCGTGAGGCTGTGGGGACGGCGGGGTGGGGGCGGCAGCCCGGCCACCCAGTGAAAGATAGTCATTCTTTTGTGGTTTTCTAATTACATTTTAAAACACCAAATGAACACATGCTTATAGAGAGCAGCGGAGACTGCCGACTGCTGAGATGCACACACAAGCCCTCAAGAGGCCCCGTCCCCGCCTTCCTGGTCCTCAGCCCGGTGATTGCGGGGCAGAAGGAGGGGATTCTTCCATGCACTCTCCACCCACCCATGCCTCTGAACGGAATCCTCGCGGTTTCTAAGGGAATTGAGCTGTGGCTGGTGGAGGAGCCCCCAGAGCCCCGTGCAGTTGGATGACGGGAGGGTAGGACCTCAGGGCTCAAGTCCAAAAGAAGAGCGGTACAGAGTTTGAGGACAATCACGTGAGCGCAGTGGGAACTACCAACCCCCACGAAGGGATGCTGGGCCCAGGGGCAGGGTCCTCCTGGACCTGTCTGTAGAGGAATTCTGATGAGACTGGGGTTCCCGGGCCCCCAAGGTGAGACCCCAGGTGTCAGCAGAGCACTGGGCTGAGGGGGAAGGCTGGGTCCGTGCCTGGGAACAGGGGCCAGAGGACTTCATGGCCAGTGTGCATTTGGGGAGGGAGAAGGCTGTGGAGTGGCGGGCGCTGGGCCCTGATGGCTGGCGTGTCTGCAGCATCTGGGATCGCCCTGGCCAGCTCTCTAACTGCCCTGGATGCCACGGCCCCACCCCATCACCCCATGGGGACAAAGGTGGCTCCCTCTTGGGTGCCAATCCACCACGTTGACTTCTGATTGGCTCTGGTCACATGAAAGGCTCCTGGTTTCCACCTTATCTACTGTGCCTAGCGTGCCTAGCGTGAGAACACGTCAACCTGACGTTATCTCACAGCTAGAGGCCACGACGCAAGCAGTGGTCTGGCCGTCCTGGAGGGTCACCTTCGACTGTCTGCACACAGCACGTCCACCCTCCCGCTATGGGTCTGGGGAGCAACAGTGCAGAGACCCACCTGTCTTGCAAGACCACGCTTCTGTCCGAAAGTGCCCTAGCAGAACACTGTCCACCAGCAAACTGGATTTGTCGGCCTTGTTCTTTGTTTCTGGGCCCCTTCTTCAGCATTTGGGGGCCACTTTGTGTTTTCAGCCTTCATGGATCAGAGCCCCAGTGGCTTCTGAAGAGGGGGGCTTTGGCAAGCTCCAGCCCCGTCATCCTATCAGCAACTAACCCCCACCAGAGGCCCTGGCCAGGGACAGGGAGAGGGGCAGCAGCTCGGGGCACAAGGGCCCAGCAATGCAGGGGCCAGGCAGGGAGGTCCACCTCTCAGGTAGTCAGGGGCCGAGCCTCAGGGAGCACCCGCCCCCTGCAGCCCCCCACTCCCTGCTCCCCGGTGCATGCACACAGGCATGGCAGCCGGAGCCCGATCTATGGGCACCTGCCTGTGTCTGCACAAGCGCTGGCGTTCCCTGGCATGCACCCTGCTCCCACAGCTTTGCACTTGCCAGGCGCGCCCCAAAGCTCCTTTCCTCCTCCGAGGAGGGTCCCTGTGACACCATCACATGCCCAGCGCTGCTCTGCCTGTTTCCTGCTTTGCAGCAGTTACCCCATCCAGGGCCACCCTCCTTCTTTACATGATCCACCCCTCCCACCAAAATGTTCCTTGGGGCCCCCCTAAGTCCCAGGAAAATACTCAGCATATGGAAGATGTATGATAAAGGTTTCTTGAATGAATGAATGAATGAATGAATGAATGAGGAGGTGACATTGGAGCTGAGATGTCAATGATGGGAAGCCAGTCTCAGAGCCCCAGGGGAAGGAGCGTCCAGGCAGAGGGAACACCTAGCAAAGGCCAGCAGGTAGGAACAAGCTTGGCTGCTGGGGGAAACGGAGGGAGGCCAAGAGCACAGTAAGGGGTGGAGGCCGGGGTTGGGGACCGGACCATGCAGGGTCTTGCGGGGTGTACAGCAAGGGCTTGGGTTTTGCTGGGGGGCAGTGGGAGGCATGGAACAGAGCCTCGTGGTTTTGTTGGTGAACTCCTGCCTACAGGCACCCCATTCCCTTACGGCGAGCTCCCTTCCAGCCAGCTTGGCCAACACTTCAGGCACCAGGCACACGAACGCCCCAAACAAATGCCCCCACTGACAAGCATCTCGAAACCACAGGTTTTAATTTCCAGGCACATGATGGCTGGTGTCCCCACAAACACAGGGCTGTGTTTACAGCCGAGGACTGACAAGACGTGGCACTGTCCCCTTCTGGGTCCCAGCCGGCCGGCTTCCAGGGCTGAGGGGGGAGGTGTCTTTCTCGGCGCCCTCCCATCAGAGCTGCGTGTCCCGGCCGTCCAGGGTCAGGAGGGGGAGGGGGCCGCCTCGGCCAGCGGGCGGGCCATGCTCTGGATGGCCCACTGCAGGATGCCGTCAAAGGTGTGCTGCGGGACAGAGCAACTGTGAGAACCTCCAGGGGCGCCCCGCCATGGCCACAGGATCGTCCAACCTTCCCTCTAATTCAAAGGAGGGGAAACTGAGGCCCGAGGCCCCACGGCACAGGCCAGTCAGAGGAGGACCCCGTCCTGTACATTTCACCGAATCCTGTAAGCCCAGGGCACAGCCCCATGGCAGTTCATGGCAGTTCTGCCTCCTCGGGTGGCTCCTTCGGGGTTGGGGGTCAGGGCCGGCTGCTTCTCATTCTGTTCAGGAGCCTGATGTTCCCACAGGATGTTCCCGCAGGCCCCACAATGCCAGCAGAATAAGGCCGCCACCCTGGAGAGGCTGTAAGCCTGACCCTTATTTCTCCAGTTATATCCGGGGACCCCGTCCAGAGAAGCAGCTCCATTACCCAGCGTTGGGTCCCCTGGCCCACTCTCCGGCCCTGGGGTTCTACAGACATCTGCACAGTCAGGGTGTGTGGGGCATGGCCACTGCACAGGGCAGGACCCCTGCCCCATGGTCAGCTGGGACCCCCAGGTGCCACGCCGGACACAGGAGAACCTGTGGAGGCTGGAGGAGCTTATCCTCTTGCCAAAACCAGACGAGGCTTTAAAAGTCACATTTTGCCCACAGATTCTACCTGCCCATCTTAGCATAGAAAGGCCTGAGTTGGGAGGGGCAAGCAACTCTCAGAGGGACGGGGCCCGGGACCCCCCCACTCCCACACCCCACCCTCCCTGGGAAAGTGGATCTTGGGCCTGGTGCTCGAGCCTTGCCTGCCAGGGTCCAGGCCCTTGGGCAAGGGGCCGTGTGGGAGCTCTTGTCAGGGAGGGGCTGGGGGTGCTCAGCAGCACTGGACTCCTGCCGGGGCAGGGGCCAGGGGGGCTCCTGTTGGGGGGTGCCAGGGGCCCAGCAGCATTGAGGCTCCTGTGGGGGGCTGGGGGGCTCCTGTGGGGGGATGCCAGGGGCTCAGCAGCACTGGGGCTCCTGGTTGGTGGCGCAGGGACAGCCTGAGTTTCCATGGCTCAAGAGCAGCAGGGGCTGGCAGTCCTCAGTGTGCCCAGAGTGGGGGGCCTGGGTGCCGGCTGAGGCAGGGGAGGGGGAGTGGAGGAGCAGCAGGTGCAGCCGAGACCAGGGGAGGCATTACCTCGCTCAGAAGGGACTCCAGGTCCTCCCTGTGCAGAGTGGGCTCGTGACTGGCAGTGTCATCCTGGAACCCAGGAAAGAGAAGAGGTCAACCCAACTCCCACAGCCCTGGCAGGGACACAGAGGCTGCAGGGCCTACGGGCCGCGGGGGTATTTCCCCCCCACACTGAGATGGGAATTCTTTTTTTTTTTTTTTTTTTTTTTTTTTGAGACGGAGTCTCGCTCTGTCGCCCAGGCTGGAATGCAGTGGCCGGATCTCAGCTCACTGCAAGCTCCGCCTCCCGGGTTCGGGCCATTCTCCTGTCTCAGCCTCCTGAGTAGCTGGGACTACAGGCGCCCGCCACCTCGCCCGGCTAGTTTTTTTTTGTATTTTTTAGTAGAGACGGGGTTTCACCGTGTTAGCCAGGATGGTCTCGATCTCCTGACCTAGTGATCCGCCCGTCTCGGCCTCCCAAAGTGCTGGGATTACAGGCTTGAGCCACCGCGCCCGGCCTGAGATGGGAATTCTTACACCCAGCCCCATTGGGGGTGAGGGCACAGGGCTACATGGGCATGATGGGGCGGGGGCTGCCTGCCCCGGGTCCTGCTCGCTGCCCACGGCCAGCTGCCCACGGCCCCCAGACAGCCTCCACACTGTGTGGCCTCCTGGGGAAAACGAGGGGGCTCAGGGAACCAGCAAGGAAGCCCCACTCTGAGAGGGGAAGTCTGAGGCCCAGAGAGGAAAGTGTCTGGTCCATGCCACCCCCGCCCCCGACAAGCACCACCAGGGCCAGTGCATGCCATGGGTGAGCGGCCAGAGTGGGGGAAGGTCCCCAGGCGGGCACCCCCAGCAAAGAGGAGACCATATTAAACCGAACCCTGTGGAACTGCCCATTTGTAGCCCCAAGCAGCCACATCCCAGCTCCTCCACTCAGGTGAACACTGGCGCTGCAAGGCCCTGCAGCCCTGCGTGGCTGAGGGAGGGGCTGTTCAGTCTGGAGGGGAAAGCCCCTGGATGCTCCCCTGGTCCTAAGGATGCTGCCAGTGGGTGGGAGACCTGCTCAGGACGGGGTGTGGGGGCACACCCAACCACCCTGGGGGAGGGGGCAGGCTGGGGACACACCCAACCACCCTGGGGGAGGGGGGCAGGCTGGGGACACACCCAACCACCCTGGGGGAGGGGGGCAGGCTGGGGACACACCCAACCACCCTGGGGGAGGGGGGCAGGCTGGGGACACACCCAACCACCCTGGGGGAGGGGGGCAGGCTGGGGACACACCCAACCACCCTGGGGGAGGGGGGCAGGCTGGGGACACACCCAACCACCCTGGGGGAGGGGGCAGGCTGGGGACACACCCAACCACCCTGGGGGAGGGGGGCAGGCTGGGGAGGGGCCAAGGCCAGCCCGAACTTTTCCTCTAACATGGCATTACATTTCACACCGCAGTGAAAACACAGAGCTCTCTGCTGTTCAAAGACAGAACCCAGCAGGTTAATGACGAGGTACCCGCTGCGGGAGCAGCTGCAAGAAAGCTGCCTGGGGTTGGGGAGGGGCATCTGCATAGGGCACCGACTCCAGGTGGGTGGTGTGAGGAGGGAGGCTTCTAGAAGGAAGGGGACAGCGACAGCTGCGGGCCAAGCCACTGTTCCACAAAAGCCCCAAGGGCAGGGCTTGGTCTGAGGCTTGTGCCATGCCAGGCCAGAGCCTGCATGGTGGGGCAGCCTGTCACATGCCTGGGGAGTACCATGCTGGGGCGGGCTGTCACCTGCCCAGGGAGTACCATGCCGGGGTGGCCTGTCACCTGCCCAGGGAGTACCATGCCGGGGTGGCCTGTCACCACACGGTGTATATGGGGTGGAGGCAGAGCTGGGAAAGTGTGTGGGCCAGTGGAGCTGGTGGGACATGTAATCACCCCAGGATCCCTAAAGGCTCCTCCGTGGCTGGGATGTGCTCAGGAGGCCTCTGCTGGGGACAGTCAGGGCAAGAGGCCACCACCCCTGAGGCTCCTGCAGCAGTGACTCAGGCCGCCCCCACAGCCAGCTCCAGGGCAAGCCAGGCCGCCCCAGCAGTCAGGGGTCCCCCCACCCCCCGGGTCCTCTCTGACAGTAGAGCAGGAGGAAAGGAAGAGCTACTGGCTGGACCCAGGGTTGCTTTGCCTCTCTGAGAGGCTCCGGCCACACAATGGGGTGGATCCTGGCCCCAGGGAGGACTGCGGGTGAGACTGCCTGGAGGGGTCAGACGGGGTTGGGGCTTACTCCTGCAGGCCTGGCACTCCTGCTCTCCCCTCACCCCACCAGGGCACCCTGGTGAGACTCTCAGGCCTCTGCTGTGAGGCGGCCACACAACCAACCGTGATGTCAGTCACCAACCCTGGAGGCAGCTTCCTTTTAACTATATTTAAGTTGCCAAAAAGAATTAGGTTTAAAGGGAAATTATTGTCTACAGATAATGACCACATGGTCAGTGTGTATGGTGCAAACCCTCGAAGCTGGCACCCAGGGTTTGTCCTGAGACGTGCTCCCCCAACCCCAACCCAAGGGGTCTCCCACCCCCACCACCAGCACTCATGGAGGGTTCCTGTGGCACTGACCTTGGCAGGCCCGGGCGCCAGGTGGGTGGGGCTGGGGGCCAGCACCCCCTCCACAGGGGCCGGGGTCATGTCTCCTGAGCAGGATCTGCAGCGCAGGCCCGTCCTGCAGCAGAGGATGAGGGGCTGCCAGGTTGGGGGTAGCAGGAGTGCCACCTCCGGGGTATGGAGTGTGGGATGCTGGGAGGTGGTGTTGGGTGTGGGGTGTGGGCATGGGTGGTGAGTGGGGGATGGGGTGTGGGGTGTGAGGAAGGGGTATGGGTGGAGAGTGGGAGTGGTGGGTTTGGGTGGGGTGTAGGGTGTGGGGTGGGTGTAGGGTGTGGATGGGAGTGTGGGGTGGGAGTGGGGTGCAGGCTGTCGGGGGGCCTATGGGGTGGGAGTGGGAAGTGTGGGGTGTGGGGTGGGGTGTGGCTGTGGGGTCCACTGGGTGAGGTGCAGGATATGAGGTGGGGTGTAGGGTATGAGTGGGAGTGTAGTGGCATGTGACTGTGGAATGTAGGGTGTGGGTATGGTGTGTGGGGTGTAGGATGTGGGTGTGGGGTATAGGATGTGGGTTTGAAGTGTGGGATGTGGGTGTCGGGTGTGGGTGCAGGGTGGGGGTTGTGGGTGGGGTGCAGGGTGTGGGTAGGGGGTGTGGGTGGGAGTGGGGTGCAGGTTATAGGGTGGGGTGTAGGGTGTAGGGTGGGGTGCAGGGTGTGGGTGGGGCATGTGGGTGGGAGTGGGGTGTGGGGTGTAGGTTGTGGTGGGGGGTGTGGGTGGGAGTGGGGTGCAGGTTATGGGGTGGGGTGTAGGGTGTGGGGTGGGGTGCAGGGTGTGGGTGTGGGGTGGGTGGGGGGTGTGGAGGATGAGTATAGGGTGTAGGGTGTGGATGGGGTGTGGTTTGAGCTGTATGGTGTGGGTGTGGGTTTGGGCCTCCATGCCAACCACACTCACCCAGGCCGGGAGGTGCCCGCTGGGAAGTGGCAGCGCCAGTGAGCACACCGCAGCACATCCGTACCATCTCCGCACACCCCGCACTGTGCGCCAGGAGCTGGACTCTGTGGGAGGCGAACCCGTGGGGTGACACAGGGGGCCGGGGGGAAACGTAGCTGAACCCGAGGCCTCCGTGCTCTCCCCTGGGACCACCCAGGGCTGGACAGCGGGTCTGGGAGCAACCTCACGGTGCGGCCAAGGCTGCAGGACAGCGGGACCAGTCCCATCCCCAGGATGCAGGGGAGACCCAAGCACCCTCAGGCAAGCCTGGTGCCACACCTCTCTCCCGCTTGGCCGGCCCGGCCTCCTTTGGGGCTGAGTGCAGGAGTCTCCTGAAAGGCGGTGCCCACAGGACTGCAGTGAGGGGAATTGAGGCAGGGCGGGGCGGGCTCCCATGTGCGCTGGGCCATCCCCCCCTTCATTGTCCTGCCTTGGGGGGGCAGCAGTAATGCCCAGGGCCAGGAGCTGGAGTGGAGGTCTAGGAGCCTCCCCTTTTCCCTGAAGCCCCCCACGCTCCCCCACAGCCCCAGGCCCTGTGCCTCCCAGACCCTGTCTTGCCTGGCCTCCCTCTCCTCCTGTTTCAGGTGAATTCATCCGCCATGTAGGTCCTGGGCTCCCTGAAGAGCCCACCCTGGTCTGCACTCCCCGCTCACCTGCTGCCCCTCAGGACCCACACACAGTAGGGGGTGCAGGGCCGAGGAGTCCAGCCCTGGCAGGGGGGCTGCAGAAGGCGGGGCCGGCGGGTGCTTGTACACAAGAGCCGTGTCCATGCCAGTTAGGGGCTCCCCAGGTGGACCTCTCACCTCCTCTCCCGCCGACCTAAGCCCCGGAGGGAGCTGGAACCCAAGGGTCAGCATCAGGGGGGCCGTGGGCACCTGCCGGGCACCACCCAGGAGTCAGTGACTGCTGGGACCCTGAAACCCGGGGCAGCAGGGTGCCGGCGGAGGGCCGGTGTGGTGGAAGGCGTCCACACTGAGTGGGAAAGGCCTGTGGCAGTTCCTGGCTCTGTGGTCCTCCCTCCTCCCCCGTCTACACATGAGGGGCCCCCTGGCCCTCAGGGCTGTCAGAGGGAACACTGGGCCTGTGCACAGTAGCCCTCCTGTGTTCACAGCAGCAGAACGATGAGCACATCTTCTAGGGCCATTATCAATGCTCATAGTGCCTCCCCAGGGTGGATCCGCAGCCAGGAGAGCTGGGTTTCCGCCCATAGGAACCATGATGGGGGCCCCACCGCAGGGGACCACAAGGACCAGGCGTGTGCATGAGGGGCACAGCGCTGCGGCTGGGGTAGGCCTGTCCCACAGGACTCCAGGGGACAGACAGACAGGAGGGGTGGCCCGGCCTAGAAGTGGGCGTGGCCATACCGGGGTCTCCACGGGTGGCTCCTGGGGCCGGGGCTCCTCTGCCCGGGGCTGCGTCTCCTGGACTGTCACCTGCAGGCAGCCGGAGCACCTCCAGGTCCCACTGCTCGTGCGTCCACCAGTCAGAGACATGCGGAACAAGACAGCGGGTGACAGATCCCCAAACCCACGGGTGGGGCTCGAGGGCTCCGCCGCACCATGCCTTTTACTGAGGGGAAACCGAGGCACAGCAGGGAGATGGGCAGGGAGAGCCCCCAGGGGGACATTTACCCTTAGTGGGGTGGCCCTGGCCAGCGCGATCAGGGTCCCCTTGGCGTGCTCTCTGATGAACCCCAGGAATCCCCAACACCTGCGAGCCCACAGTGGCTTTGCCTGCCTTTCAGGGCTGGGCCCTGCCGGGGGCCCCCCTAAGCTGACTGTTTATGTCCCGGGACCCATCCTGTTTCCTTAAGGGGAATGGCACCCAGCAGAATGGGAGGTGATCAAGGGCAGGAAGAGACAGCAAGGAGGACGGCTTCAGAAGGAGCCGAGCGAGGCCCCTGGCTGCGCCTCTTATTCTAGTGATGACGCAAGAGGCTGAGAGGGGGCCTGGTGAAGGCCACTCGGGGCTGGGACAGAGCCTCACCTGAGCGTGGGTCCCCACTCCTCCCACAGCTCTTCCTCCCACAGACTGCCACGTCCTGTGGGGTTGGAGTGAGGGCAGGGCTCGGTGGGCTGTGGGGAGGGAGTGCTGGGATATGAACACAGAGGAGGTCTCCCACCCCCACTAAGCCCGGGGTCCTGTGCATTGGTGGACAAGCTCCCACCTGCCCTTGGGGGTGCAGCTCTGTGGCCTCTGTGCTCCCCAGCCCTGTCTGGGGTGGGACTCTGGGGCGGGGCTTGGGGGTGGGGGCTGGCTACCCATGGAGGTGTGGGCCGCAGCCTGGGATGAGCTTGGACAGGGTGGCATCTTCACCTGGGGCCTCTGTTCTGCTTTGCTGCCCTCAGGGGCCCAGCTGGGCAGCCGGTGTGGCCAGGCTGGGAGGCAGGTGGCAGGGTGGGAAAACCCCAGGCCCTGGCCCCATGGCCCAGTGACCTGACTCAGAGCCCCCTTCCATCCTGGATGGGAGAGCCTGGGGGGGGCTTCCCTTCAGGGTCAGTGGGTGGAGGTGGCTGTGAACTGGGGTGACCTGGTTGCGCTGGCAGAGGTGCAGGCTCACCTGGGGATCTCCCGGAGTGGAGGGGACAGGCAGGCCAGGTGGAAGGCCCGAGGGCAGCCATCACAGCAGATGAGCTCCCCGCCGTCCCGGCACACAGCACACTCATCCTCGTTCTTCTGGCACAGGCAAGAGACGCCCATGCAGACTGGGCTGGGGTGCAGCACCCTCCCGAGAGCCACCTCCTTCCCAAAACGGCTCCCCCAGCATCTCTGGGTACCTGAACTCCCGGGTCTCTGCCCTGCTCCCATGCTGCCAGGGCCTGAAATTCCACCCTGACCACCTGTTCCCCATCCATCTGGTCTCTAACGGACACCCCTCGGGGCCATCCCTATTGGGAAGAAACCCCGGTGTGTTCCAGGGGCTGGAACTGTACACCCACCACATGCGCCCTTCCTCACAGGGCAGTGCGGCCAGGCCCAGGGAGGCCTCTCCTGACCCCAGCACCTGCTGAACCCTCCACCCGCAGACCCCACCCTCGTCGTGCCCTGCCTGGACGGTGCCGGCTGTGCCTTCAGGGGTCTCCCAGATACCATCTCCTCCAGAATCCCTCCAGACAGCCAGACTAGGCTGGTCCTGCACAGCAATGACCTTACTTATTCTAACAACCCGCCAGACGCCTGCCAGCCTGGGTGCCCCTGCAGGGCAGGACTGGGCCCTGTCACTCCTAAGTGCCAGGGCCCCACAGAGCCCCTGGTGCCAAGTGGTCAGGTTCTGTAACCCACCACGGCAGGCACCCACCACACTGCTTCCACCCCATTAGGAAACCATGCTGGGGACCAAGGACGAGCCTGGCATTCCCAGTGGACCCTGAAGCTCCTGGCTGTAGCAGGGGCGCCCGGCCCACCCATGGGCACGGCTGAGAGCAGTGCGTACAGCCTGGACCAAACGCTGTGCTTTTAAGAGCCTGAGAGGACCTCACTTTCTCTGACTTATTTAAATATTACAATTATATATTATCAGGAGAAAATACGTCTGTTAAAGAAAAAGAGCTCTGCCCTGTGGGAGGGGCTCAGGCCCCAGTGCTCATCCCTGAGTGCCCAGGTCAAGGCAGAGGCGGCAGGACCCACCCGAGGGGAGCGAGGACAAACAGGGGCCCTCCTATGGTCTAGGGCATTACCTGGTGGAGCTGGGGGTCACTGGGGAGGGCTGGAGGGGCGGGAGCCCTGCTCTGCTGGCCCAGCCTAGCCTCACCTCCACCCTGCAAGGAAGAGGGGCATCAGCAATGGGGGCAGCCTGAGCAGCGAGGGTGCACACGACTGTGGCACCAGGCATCTCTCGGCAGCAGCCGCCAGCCCCCCAGCAGAGCCACTCCCCCAGAGGCAATGCTGTTCCTGGGGTGGGGGTGCATCAAGAGCCGGGCTCCCCAGGGAGGGTCAGGTGCTTACGGGGGCAGCGCCCTGGGCTCCCTTGGCTCGAACCAGAGGCTTCAGGCCACCGCCGCTGCGGGCCTTGTTCTTCCCACCACTGGGGTCTTCGAACTTGCTAGGAGTGTAGAACTCCCCCCCGACCTGGATGCACTTCTTGGAGCCCCCTGGGAGGAGATGCCGGCTGGTCCTGGCTCACCTACCCAGCAGGACCTGCCTTGGCAGTCGTGTAGGCCCCGGACTGGGGTCTAGCAGAGACAGGTGGAGTTCCCACAGCCTGCGTTCCTCCAGCCCGCCCCCACCCCAGTCGAGTCTGGGGCCCGGGGATTGTCCCAGGTCTACACCAGGGTGTTCAATAGTGTCCCCCAAAGTTCACGTCCACCTAGAACCTCAGAGTGTGTCCTTACTTGGAATTGGGGTCATTATAGATGTGATTAGTTAAGATGAGGTCACACTGGACCATAAGTTCAATGACTGGTGCCCTTGTAAAGAGGACACATGGGAGACGGCTGTGAGACTGCAGAGGCAGAGACTGGAGTGGTGGGACCCCGAGCCCAGGGACAAGGGGCACAGGGACACCCGCATAACGACCAGCAGCTGGGAGAGACAAGGAAGGATTCTTCCCTGCAACCTGCAGAGGGAGTGTGGCCCCGAGACACCTTGATGTTGGCATTTCTGTCATTTCAAGCTTCCCAGTTTGTGCCATTTGATCCAACAGCCTTAGGAAGTAACACAGTGGGTCTTGGGACCACCCAGAAGTGCAAGACCAGGGCCCTGGCTGTGCCTGGCGTTTCCAGCCCATGCCCAGCACCGAGGAGATGCCGTGGCAGGGACTGTAGATGGAATGCCCGATGGCACGGTGGGTCTGCCACCAGCAGCCCTGCTGTGCCCTGGTCAGATGGCACCGGTGATTGTATGGGGTCAGTGGCTGGCCAGGGAATGGGGGGCGAGGACGCTGCAGGCCGGCCAGGGAATGGGGGGTGAGGACCCTGCAGGCTGTCCTGGTTGAAGAGTACAGACACCCTGGAGGGTCTCAGTAGCAAAGACAGAACTTTCTAAGGATGCAGCCACATGGCTCAGGAGGGCCCATGCACATGGATGGAGGTGACTGGGGGTGCAGCGCATCCCGGGCTGGGATGTGGGCCTAGACCACCGGCCTTGAAGAAGGTCCCCCGACAGGGAGACTTCAGTGCCCACTCTCCTCCTCCAAAGTCATCAGAACCACAGGCAGAAACTCTGGCTACATGAGCGACAGCCCTGCCTGCTGTGGGACCACTAGGGTGCAAAGGGGCGCGGAGGGACGTGGAGGGGCGTGGAGAGGGGCACGGAGGGGCACACAGGGGTGCGATCCTCCTTCCATCTTGGAGCCTGGGTGTCCCTGTCAGTCCCATCTCCCCGCCACAGCATCTACCTGACTCAAACACCTGCTGGATGAGAATCCCCTCCACGGCTCCTCGGGCTCCCGGGACGTCCCCAGAGGACATGGCCACAGCTCTCTGGACTGAAGCTGACATGGTCTGAATCCCTGGGAAAGGGAACACCCACTGGGGTCACCCATGGGGAAGACAGTTCCCGAGCACAAACTCTGTGCCAGGAGCAGGCAGTACGGGGCTGCAGAGCCCTTTCCTTCCAGCCAGGGCAGGCCGAGGAGGGAGCCCAGCCCCGCCTTGTGCAGACAGCCCACAGGTAAGGGCAGAGACATGAGAACGTGTGTGTTTGTGTGTGCACCCATGTGTGCGTGTGCTGGGGGTGGCAGTGTCAGCAGAGCTGGCACAATGGAGAGGAAGGAATGCCCAATGACCAGCCCCCACCATGACATGGGCCCTGTGTTGTGCTGGGAGGGACACAGAGTTCCTAGGCTCTGCCCTCAGGGAGGGCAGCAGTGGGCATAGGGGGTCTCTGGAGTCCAGTGCCCTGGGAAGGAAGGAGAAGGGGACAGGAAGAGTTCATACTGCATGCAGCTGGGGGCCAGGGATGATTTTCTGGAGGAAGCCATGTCTGGACTGGTCCTGAAGGACAGGGAGTGGATGGGCAGAGAAGTGCCTGAGAAGGGGGTCCCAGAACCAGGGTGTGGTGGGGGCAGGGGCGACTGGCAAGATCGTGCATGGACCCAAGGTGTCCCCTTCCTGGGTCTGGTGGTGCAGCTTAGGCCCTTGGAATGACATGCCAGGCCAGCATGTCCGCAGCCCCTAGTACAGGGTCTCAGAGGGCAGGCCCTGCTCTGACCCCTGACCCCTTGCCCCTGGCCAGGCAGAAGGGAGGCGCTCCCACTGGGCCCCACTCACCGTTCCCAAGTGGAAGACGCTGCTGCTCTGCGCTGCTCTCCGCCTTCTTGGAGGGCTTGGCCTTCAGTTGAGAGCCTGAACGGGGGAGCTGGGGGCAGCCTGGCCTCCCCTCTCGGTGGGGGTGAGTGCTGGTGGGCAGGGGCCGGAGGAGGGAGGGGTGGAGGGGGCCCAGTGCTGGGTATTCCCTTTGCCAGGCTCTGGTTTCTCATCAGTAAAAGGAAACCCGCCTGCCTACTTTGCCAGCCTGGGGAGGTCACCCTTCAGGCAGGAGTGAGCTGAGAGGCTGGTCCAGTGTGTTGGTCTAGTACCCAGAGGAGACCCCCACAGCCCCAGGCAGGCTGGCTCCACGCCCAGTGGGTAGGAGCCCGGGTGGGGAGGGGGCATGGGCTCCCGGGGAAGACTGGAGACCCCGGCTGGCTTCCCCTGTGGGGTACCTGGGCTGGAGGTGCCCCTTGGAGTCAGGGCTGCTGGTGCAGCAGCTCGAGGTTCTTCTGAGGCCTTCCTCTTGGTGGGGTGTCTGGGTGGTAGTACCAAAGCCTTGGGGATGGTCGGGAGCTTCCTCCCCTTCCGGGATTGGCTGAGGTCCACATCTGCAGCTCAGGGGCAGGAGCAGGGTCCCAACCTCAGGGTTTTCTCCAGGGGGAGGATGGGCCCCAGAAACTGGACACCCTGGCCAGGTGGGTGAGGCCTGGCCCCTTTGCCTCTTAGGATCCAAGATGGTCCTGGGACATCACCCACGGGCTCCTCAAACACCACTCTGGTTCCAGTCCAGCTGGGCTGAGCAGGTGACAGCAGCTGCCCCAGGCCCCCAGCATGGCTGAGCCCACCAGGACCCACCTTTGGGGAAGCTGTCCAGGATGGGCTGCAGCCGGCCATAGCGCTCCAGGTTGTAGTCCTTGAACAGAACCCTCCAGAAGTCCAGGATGACTGTGGAGTCCTGGGTCAGCAGCCAGGACAGGAGGGCGTGGAAGGCCTGGGGGCAGCCCTCCTTTTCCTTCAGACGAAGGGTCTCCTGCAGTGGGGTGGCATGAGGGTCCCTGCCATGGTGCCCCACACCCTGCGGCCTGCCCATCTCCACCATGACTAGAGGGTGGAGCTCCCAGGCAGAGGTGCTGGCGACCTGGGCAGCTCGGCGCCCATCTCCTTGGCTTGTGGTGGGGTCAGGTGGTGGTGTAGGCTGTTGAGGGTGGGACTGGGGGAACCTGGAGGCCATTCCCTTGGCTTGGGGGTGAGGTGTGCAGACGGCTGGGGGAAGGGGACCAACTTCTAACTTGTCCTCAGGGAGGCCCTGGCTCCTTGCCGGGGGGGGGAGTTGGGGAAGGCTGGAGGGGCCTGGGGATCTGGAGGGGCCGGGAGGCATGGGGCAGGGTCCTCCTGGAACTTCCCTGGGGACTATCCCTGGCTCGCAGGGCCTGGGGGCCGTGGAGGGCGGGCGGGGGGCCCACCTGGAACTTGTCCTCGGGGACCACGTCGTGGTCGGCCAGCGCGTGCAGCAGTGGGAAGGCGCTGTCCACGGCCACCGCGATCTCCGTGCGGTGCAGCCTCAGAAGCTGGCGCAGGGCTGCGTCCGCCGCCATGGGGTCAGCGCGGGGACCTGGGGCTGGGGCGGGCGCGGTGGGTCCCGGGACACTGGCAGCCCCTCGCCTGGCCTCGGGTCCGGGCGGGGCTGTGGGGCGTCCGCGCCGGCTGTGCGCCCGCCCGCCCGCCCGTCCGCCCGTCTCCCTGGGTCTGCGAGCCACGCGCGCCGCTGTTATACCCCCGCGACCACGCAAAGAGCAAAGGCCGCTCCGCCCCGGCGCCCAATCAGGGCCAGAGCCTCCCGCGGGGACGCTTCCCTGTGACGGAGGCGCTGCGCTCCCTCCCTCGCTCCTGGGAAGTCTCCGCACCGGCCAGACTCACCCACCAGGGCAGCTGCTTTGGGGGCTGGGGACGGAGACTTGCTCTGCGCGGGACTCAGAGGCCTCTCACTTCCCAGTGTGGCCCCGTCCTGCCTCCCCCAGGGCCCTGCTCGAATGGGGCAAAGCCGGGACAGGCCTCAGGGCCTGGCAGGGGCTGCCTGGGGTGCAATGGCCCCTCCCAGTGGCCGGCAAGAGCCTCCATGGAGGCTGGATCGGGGTGGTGTCCCTGGGGAACCTCCACACAAGCTGAAAGCCCCTACTCAGGGGCCCGCCTGGGGCTGTGGGAGGAGCCGGGTGGAGGCCCAGTCTGATGGAGGAGACGGTACCGCAGCCCTGGGCGTCCCCGGGGAGGCTGCTGACTTCACCGTCTCAGGCTGGCTGTGTGATGCCGGCAAGCCCTTTCCTTCTCTGAGCCTCAGTTCCCTGATCTTTAAAAAGGGCGCATTCGCCTGGAGACCGAGGCTCGCATTGACCCCCTACTTCCTTCCTCCAGGTGCTTTAGAAGGAAGATGGCCGGCCCCACAACAGGGCCCCTGAGTGTGGCCCTGAGGGAGGGCTCCCTAGGGATCTTCCTAGGACCAGTGACAGAGGCTGAGGGATGCTGTGGCCTGGACAGGAACTTCCAGGGGCATCTAGGAAGGTGTCCTGGAGGGGAGCTACAGTGGGCAGGAGCCAAAGGTCCCAGGTGGACATGGGTGGGGACAGTGCCCCCAGTAAAGCAGGAGCAGGTGCAGAGGCCCGGGGCCTGCAATGGTGCCGAGGCTGTGGCAGCCGCGCAGGCATGGCCTGGAGTAGGATGGCCTCAGTGGGAGGCCTTGGTAACACAGTTCCCTAGTCTTTGCGGTCCAGCCAGGGAGGCAGGCCCTGTGTGCAGGCTGCAGAGAACCACGAGAGGACTCTGGGCACGAGTGTTCCCACTGAGTGGGAGAAGGGAATGACCTGGCCAGCAGGCTTAGGGCTGAAGGGTGGACGAAGGTACCAGGAAGGCTAAATCCGGGCAGCACTGGGATGAGGGGATAACTGATGCAGTGAAAGATGTCACCAAGAGTCCCACGTGCGCAGGCGTGCCGTTTGCTGTTGGGCAGCCAGAGTCCAGGATGGGGAGCGGCGGGCACCTCTTCTTCAGACCGGAGGTCGGTCTCGGTTTCTCCTACCGCCTCCAGGCCCAAGGTCCCCCTGAACGTTCTGCACGTCTGGAAAAGACTCTGGGGGTGTTTGGGAACAAACCTGGGGAGGAAGGTGGGGCCAGAGGTGGTGACTGAGGTGGTCAGCCTGGGGTCAGGTGCTGGGGACGTCGTGGGGAGCTGTGGGGGAGGGGATCCATCTCAGAAAGCCAGTGGTGGCTGTGGAGTATCAGGCAGTGCAGGGGGGGGAACAGGCTGGCTCCTGTGTGGAATGCCCTGGGAGCTCTGAGCTGGGAGCAGGGCCCTCTCGCTGCCCATGCCTGGGCGTGTGGAGTGTGCTCTCACTCCCTGCACTGCGCCTTCCGAAGACCCCAGGAGGGGAGCCCCCCGCCTGCCTGCCTGCCTTGCCCGTCCCTGCTCCAACAGGCACATCCTGTCCCCAGCCAGACCAGGCTGCTGCTCGCTGGGTTTCCTGCCCTCTCCCCTGTAGTTCTGTATTTACAGCAAAAATATTTAAGTAAGCGCAAGCGGAAGTCGTACAGAAGCCCAGCTCTGCACGGGATCCCTGCCTGCTCCTGCAACACCCCCATTCTCCTTGCTTATCCACGGGCAGGCTCTCACGTGGGGAGAGCTCACTAACATCAAGTTCAATGGCAACCCTCGGGCCCACAGGCTCCACCGTTCATGCATAAAAGTCCCTGGGGTGCCAGGGAACCAGTGCACGCAGCTTTGGGATGACCAGTAACTGTTGCTGCCGGCAACTCGGGGGGCTTTCTTCTCTCCTTTGAGGCCATCCTGCCCTGAAGTCACTCCCTGGTGGCTTTTCTCTCCCCAGATGGTTAAGTGAGTCAATGGATGCCTTAGCCGAGAGATAGTTAAAGGGCGATTAAAAACTGCAAAGCAGGATCCAAGTCTGCACTTCACTTTTTTAAAAAGACCTGAAATCTTTGCGGGTGCACCTGTGTCATCGGGCTGGGGCCTGACCCCTGTGGGCAGGCGTCACCCAGCCTCTTGCATGGAGGTTAACAAAGAGGCCCCTGTAGAATTCTGGACTTTCCACCATGCCGTGGGGCTTTCCATCCCAGCCCCTTGCCCGCGGGTGATCTGGAGCTGCCAAGGCTCCCTGGAGGAGGCCCTGGTGACATAGACCCCTGGAGTGGAGTGAGGAGCTGGGGGGTTGGCCCTGTCTTCAGTGGGGCTGATGCCTTTGTGAGACTGAGTCTCACTTTCCCCAAGAGGCGCCTGGGCAGAGCTCTGGGACAGTATTGGGCTCTATCCCTGAGCCCCATGTCCTCGCTGGAGCGGGGAGGGCCCGGCAGCCCTTTCTTCCACATCCATGCTTTTCCCTTGGGCACCTGCGGGCCTGCCACGCCCTGGGCTAGGCCTTGAGAGCTTCGTAATTCTGCTCACTCCATCAGCAGAACGGTCTCCTCAGGTCGTTTCATCGTGATTAGTGCCATCACGATGTGGAAACTGAGGCCCATTGCAGGGAGGAGCTTGGCCAGAGTCACGCAGCTGCTAAGAACCATGACTCAGACCTTGATGCACGGAAGAACAGAGGTTTTCCAGGTCCATGCTCCGGCTGTGCTGGGTGCCCCTCAGGTGCCCAGGTCACATCAGATGTTCTCAGCCTGCGAAGAGGGGGGACGCTGCCTATGTGATGTGTACGGAAGTCGGGAGGAGCCAGGTCCTAATGGCAGAGCAGGGAAGGGGCTGGAGGGGGCTTGGCCTTGGCCCCTCAGACAAGCCTGGACTCCATGCCTTCTCTCCTGCTCAAGCTGGAGGTTCCGTCCCCTGTAGCTCCCTGGAAGAGCCAGGCTCCCAGAGGCCAGGAGTCTGAGTCAGGATGGCCTCGGGGGATATGGAGCCCGGGCCAGGCCCTGGTTCCTGGAGGCCCCGGACCCTGCTCCTGCAGCCTGGCCAGGTGGTCTGGCATCAAGGGAGGTGTGGGTCTCCTCAGGACACTTTGCGAGGACCCTAGCACCCTCCTGGCCACCAGCTTTCTCACCAGGCCTCGATTTCCTCACGGTAGAGAGGAAGTTGCCTCTGCTTGTTGGGCGGGACGGCCGTTCTACACAGGTGTCCAAGCCGGGGAGGCAGCTCCGAGCACCGGTGAGCTCAGAAGCACCCCTGCTCAGCCAAGAGCGTTGGGTGGGGGGGAACCTCCTGACCCCTCCCCTCCTACTAGTCTTGTCTCAAACCTGCCCCGCTGGTTGGGCCTCAGGTTCCCTGGTCTGGCCTCTCCCCTGCATCCCACTGTGGGTATGTGTCCAGACAGGGTTGCTTTTCTCAGTGAACTAGGGGGCTGTGGTGCCAGATTTTTTCTTCTTTTTTTTTTTTTTTTTTTGAGACGGAGTCTCGCTCTGTCGCCCAGGCTGAAGTGCAGTGGCCGGATCTCAGCTCACTGCAAGCTCCGCCTCCCGGGTTCACGCCATTCTCCTGCCTCAGCCTCCCGAGTAGCTGGGACTACAGGCGCCCGCCACCTCGCCCGGCTAGTTTTTTTTTTTTTTTTTTTTGTATTTTTAGTAGAGACGGGGTTTCACCGTGTTAGCCAGGATGGTCTTGATCTCCTGACCTCGTGATCCACCCGTCTCGGCCTCCCAAAGTGCTGGGATTACAGGCTTGAGCCACCGCGCCCGGCCAGATTTTTTCTTCTTTTTTTGCAGAATTGACCATCTGCCTTGCAGTCTTACCAAATAGCCCAGTGGGTGGGCCGGGGCCCTCTCAGTGGACAGGCCCTGGGAGAACAGAGCCCTGCCCTCTGCCCCCCCCAAAGCCCACCAGCTATGTACTGAATGTTGGTCTCCCCCCAGCATTCTTACATTATAGTCTCACTCCCAAGGTGATAGTAGTAGGGGGTGGGACCTTTGGGAGGTCATTAGGTCGCGAGGACTCTGCCCTCAGGAACGAATGACTGCCTGTATAAAAGGGGCCTGATGGCTGGGCACAGTGGCTCATGCCTCTGAGCCCAGCACTTTGGGAGGCCGAGGCTGGTGAATCACCTGAGGTTAGGAGTTCGAGACCAGCCTGGCCAACATGGTGAAACCCCATCTCTAGTAAAAATACAAAAATTAGCTGGGCATGGTGGCATGCCTGTAATCCCAGCTACTCAGGAGGCTGAGGCAGGAGAATCACTTGAACCTGGGAGGGGAAGTTGCAGTGAGCTGAGATCACGCCACTGCACTCTAGCCTGGGCGAAAGAGCAGACTCTGTCTCAAAAAAATGGAGGGGGCCAGAGGCAGCCCCTGTGCCCCTTCCTCCATGTGAGGATATGTAGAAGGTACCATCTAGGAACCAGGAAAAAGGCAACAGGCCCTCAACAGACATGGTGCCTTGATCTTGAACTTCCCAGCTTCCAGAACTGTGAATGATAAATTTCAATTTTTTTTTTTTTTCTTTTTGAGATGGAGTCTCACCCTGTTGCCCAGGCTGGAGTGCAGTGGTGCGATCTCGGCTCACTGCAACCTCCACATCCCGGGTTCAAGTGATTCTCCTGCCTCAGCCTCCCTCGTGATCTGTCCACCTCGGCCTCCCAAGGTGCTGGGATTACAGGCGTGAGCCACCGCACCTGGCCAATTTCTACTGTTTATAATTGCCTGGTCTAAGGATTCTCTTGCAGCAGCACAGTGGACCGAGACACATCTCACGCTGAGTGTCACACACTCTGAGTCACTCTGGTTTTGCTGCCCTCCCTGCCTCTCTCCTCCCTCTCCAGTCTGGTCATGCTGAACGGACCAAAGCTCCTACAGATGCAAAGAGTGACTTTGGGGGTCGGTGTGCTGTCGGCAGCAGGACATGAAGTCACCAGGGGCACTAGGTCAAATGCCCTGGAGAGTGCAGTGCTCTGGGGTTGGGCAGGACACCCATCTGGAACTGCACAGCCCACCGTGGGGCCCACCTACTTTTCTGTTTTGATTCCAGAGTCAACAGCCCATCGTCCAGGGATTGTAAATAGCAGGAAGCCTAAAATTAGGAGGAAGGGATGACAACAGGTGCTGACTGCAGCAGGGCACAGGATGGCCGTTGGAGACCTCAGGCCATACTTGGATAAACATATTTTTCCATCCGGTTAGCCCACCAGCCCAGTGTTGGGTGTAGCAGGACCATATGCTTCAGTAACGAGGCCGGCCTTCAATTTGGAAGAAATCCAATTTATAAACTTTTCCTTTTACATTTATTTTCTTGTGCTTTTGGAGTCAACTCTAAGAATTCTTTGCCTGGCCCTAGATCCTGAAGAATTTCTCCTATGTTTTTTTCTAAATGTTTTAT